TGCTTAGTCACCAAGGTCATAAGCTTAGTCATCCCCAAACTGACCTCCAGCTACCAAGTCTTCTAGTAATGATGAACTTTGCACGTGAAAAGTTGGGAGAATTTGATTCTCGGCCATTACGCACGGCTTATGCACTAATAACGTGCTAAAGGCATGCTTAGGCGCTAAGCACGATCACTCGTGCTAATGACGGCCGTTTCTCATGTGATGGCACATGGCCATGCGTGCAAGCATTACTTAAGCTTAATTAAAAACAATTTGTACATGATCAATGAATTTAAGCTCGGTAAAATTACTTATCGAGCGATTAGACATGAATTAATTATCGGAAAATTATTCCGAACATAACATGATATTCGAAAATTAATTCGAACATTCTTAACTGAATTAAATAGTTCTGAATGATAACGAATGATAAAATAAATATTTCGGAACTAAACATGATATTTCATTAATAAAATGACGAGATATTACAGATTCTCAAAGCTCCAGTTCGTGCCTGAAGCCACTTTCCTCATATCATCTTGACTCTGAAAAATGAACTGAAAATAGTTGGGACATAGTTCCTTGATTTCCATCGGATGGCGCATCTTCCATATCTGGGACATAGCTCTTTTTATGCCAATCCAACTAGCTGGTCTATCCCCAATTATCTTACCAAACAGACTGCGTCGACACTCATCGTCGCTGAGTTTGATATCCTCCTCTTCAATATCGAAGACTTTGTCCTCATTGGCTGAAATAGATACTTTGTTCAGTTTATCAGAAAGCTCCTCATCAAATTTCGTCATCGCTGAAGAACCCTAACTACGCAAAGCTAGGAATTGGAATTGCAGTAAAAGAGAATAGGGCTAACGAGATTCAACAATGGAGACAGGAAAATCAGTGGATGAATTCAAACACAAATGGGGCAAACAAGAACGAAGATAAGATCAAGGCCAACGATTGAAATCGATCGCTCTCAAAGAGAGAAAAGAACCGCTCTCAAAGAGAGAATTGATCTCATAGTCATAATTAAACTACTTAATAATATATTTTTAATATACTAATGTAATTTATACTAATATACTTTTTTTCATTATAATTAATTATATTTTATACTATCATAATTTATAATAATTATATTAATATAATATATATAATATCATATATTAACTTTATTAATATATGTTAATATGAAATATATATTAGTATTATTAATCTATATTAATATATATTCATATATATGAATGTATAATAATATATATGAAATTACTAATATATATAATTTAATATATATTAATTTAAATTACTAGTATTATTAATCTATATTAATATATATTCATATATATGAATGTATAATAATATATGAAATTATTAATATTTATAATTTAATATATATTAATTTAAATTACTAATATATTTTAATTATTAATCAAACTTAATTATTAATTTTTTAATTTATTATAAAATATATATAATAATATATGTTGATAAACAAATTTGATCAACTATTCCAATGTAAAATATCGAGGATTAAGACAGAATTGAGGTGATTTTATTAGTAAAATATGATGTTCGTGCGAAATGTTACAAGTCGGTATTTTTGATATAAAATCGGGTTTAATGCATACAGCAAGTCGGTTTTGGGTTTGAGCGGAGGTGTTTAATGCAGAATTAAATGTGTTGCAAAAAGATCCTGGTATTAAGTTTAATTCCTCTATTTATAGTAACTGTCGGTCCACCTTTTGAGGAGATTCGGCGGTATTTAATGCAATATGACAGTATAGGCGCAACTTTTCCAGTAGGTGGGTCCCCATGCAATGATGCCTTCACGTGGTCGATACGTTTGATGGACAGGCATTGAATGCGGTCTGCGGCGGACGTCGGTTCTCAGCTGGTACGACCTGATCGATGTTGATTTGTTTATTTAGGTCAGTTCGCTCGTCTATTTGAGGTGTTTTCCATGCTACTTCGGTTTCTTCTTCTCCTTTTTCGTATTGCACACGTGTCGCCTATTCGAACCACGAGACAATTTTTATGCCAACATAGTGGCCCCTGGCATTGAGAGGCACATTGATTTATGGTGTCCCTTAATGCCATATTTGTTCCCGTCGGTGCCCCTTTAGGGACTGCCCTAGTCGACTTCCGACCCTTAGCAAATATTTCAACCGCCCATTGTTTTCTTTTAATCATCTCCATTTGATGTGGCGCGTGATTTCACGTGTCGACGTGCCCGCCGTTCCTTGGCGGTTACGTCTGTTTGCGACACGTTCTCACGTTCTCCCTGACATCGTCTACATGGCGGGGCTTTATTGGTCCACGTGTATTAATGGGGGTATCATGAGTCATTTCCGCCTTCGATCGTGACGGTTCTGGGCGTCGATTCATCCCCAACGGTCACAAAAAACTTCCATATAAATACTCTGCTTCCCTTTTTCTCGAAAACATTCACCTTGTTCTCTCAATCTTACGCCATATCCTCTTAATCTTCACTTCTCTATTTGTCTAGCTCCCCACGTCCTGTACTTCAACAATTCAATCGTTTCTTTGTGGTGAGTTCCTCTATCTACTTCTTTTTTGTTTCTAGTACTTCGCTTTTGCTTTCTGAAATTTTTTCGGATCCTGAAATGGCGGAACAAGCGGCAGCAAGTTGTAGTAGGAATATCTCCGACGAGGCGGTCCGCGGGGCTTCTTCCGACGAGGAGGTTGACATGGAATTAGTGTTGGGGTATTTATGCTAGGATCTGGTGTTGGCCGAGCGTCTAGTTCTGCAGAGGGATAATCATGAGGGGATGCCGCGGTTGAAAAGGATTTACCAGTGCGCGAGGGTTACTGGAATTGTCCCCCTACGCATTGGCCCGACGTTGATGCGGTCTTTCCCCGCGAGCCCAGCATGATGCGTGATGCCGACGTGGTTTCCCTTTTCTGTGAGGATGTTAGCCCCTACCCCAGGGAGAGAATTCATTCTTCTCCTACCGGTTGTGTCGGGGTTTTCGCCGAGAGTATCAGGTCGGGGTTGAGATTTCCTCTTCCCAACATGATCACCGACTATCTCAAAGACTGGGGATTCGGCATAAGCCACATCACGCCGAATAGCTGGAAGAAGATTATTGGCCTAATGGTTCTTTGCGTCCAGAAAGGGCAACCATTCCCCTCGATCGATGAATTTCGGAGCATCTTCTTCTTCAAAAGAAGTTGGGAGCGCGAAGGGGTTCCGCCTTTCGGTTGCTTTTTCTCTGCTGCCAAGGTGCAGAGCTAATTGAAAGCTGGCCAACTGATCACTGAGATTCCCGACATGTTACACAGCTTTCAGGAGGAGTGGTTTTGGGTCGGCGGTGACTGGGAGTCGGCGGACTTCCGTTCAGAGTAAAAAATTGATGGGATGACCGTCCCCAACCGAGTCGTTTCTTCTTATTGTAAGTTTTCTATCTTGTCCATCTCGGCACTTCCTAACTGTTGGTTTTTTTTCTTTCGCTAGCAGGTCGGAACTTTTGGAATTTGTAGCTCGAAGAAAGAAGGAACCTAAGCTTAGCAGCGAGTTCGAAGAGAGACTCAAAGACCTTGCTAAAGTTGACTATTCTGACCGCGGGTGGCGCAAACTGTTGAAGCAGACCGAGTTAGCAAAAGCGGAGTTGTCGGCACCCCGACCATTTAAAGTGATTACCCCGGGTGAGTCTTGTTTTTTCGCAAGTTCGGGATATTTTTTATCTTTCTTTTATTCCTATCTTCTTAACCCTTCTGTTGACTTTTTCTGACGTGTGTTTTCAGTTTACTATCCCATTCTTGGCTTCTTCGGCTTTAAATCAATCGAGAAGGCTCAGGTTTTTTGACGAAAATTCCCGAATACCGACATCCAACTCAAGTTCAGGAAAGAGATAGAGATGGGTCGCTTGAAATTTATGCAAGTTGTGAAGGATTCTGCCTCCGGTCGAGGTGCTGCCACAGCTGCTACCAACGTCAAATTGGTGCCTTCGGCCGAGGTACCAAAATTGGTCCAGACGTCGGGCACCACAACCAGATTCAGGGAACCAAGCTGGTTGTGGCGCCCCCTGTTCGCACAAGTCCAGAGGAGAAAGAGACTGCAGAGGTCCCCACGACATTCACATCATTGTGTCTAGCGTCGAGGAGGAGGGGGAGAAGAAAGCTGCCGAGGAGCCTTCGACTCACAAGAAGCGCATGTCCAAGAAGAAACCTGAGGGTGAATCACACATCGCCGAGGAGCGACGGTCCAAGATGAGGCATGATGCCAGTCAACTTTTGGCAGAGGGAGGAGCCCCAGTACACCGAGATGAGAGGTCGTCGTACTTGCCGATTGATCAGGAAAGGGTCAATTTGCCTTCCGAGACAGCGGAGGAATGGTTCACCCAGTTCCACTCTGTTGCATGCCCAAATTTAGTTTCACCAGCCTTCTCATGTGATCGACGCGGCTAAGACTCCATTGATGGCGTGGGACCCCCTTTCAGAGGCGAGGTTTTCGTCGATGTCTGATTCTTATAAGTTTAGCTCTGCAAAGGCCTGCGTGGGAAGGGCTTTAGTGAGTTTGACTGACGTGGAGGATATATTTCGCTCGAACGCCACCGAGCTCGAGGAGAAGAAGGATAAAGTGGTGTATCGAGATGTCCAGATCTCCTCCCTGCAATCTGAGAAGGCCGACCTTGAGGCCGAGATGACGGAGAAGTCAGACCAGCTGGCCGTGGCATAGGCTGAGATTGAGGCATTTCTGGCCGACAAGAAGCGTCTGGAGGCCGAGATGTATTAGCTGTCCATCTAGGTCATCGACTCCGAGAGTAAAGTTAATGAAATCAACGACAAACTCCTAAAAGAACGTG